GTATTAATCTCAAAGGTTTTACAATTGATTTGTTTTATTAAGAATATTTTCAGGTCTTTGTCTTTCAATCATATATATATATATATATATATATATATATATATATCAGATCATCCCATAAGTTCTGTCCGAATTTTAAATTTCTGTTAAAATGAACGAAATTTAAAGAGTATTTTATAATGTCTAGTGGAGCTGAACATTATTTTTATGTTTAGATGCATTTAAATTGATCAAATTTTATTTCAGAGAACAATAAAATTAGATTTTGTTTGATTAAAAGCTTTCTAACATGGAAGTACCCAAGAATCATTTGAGACACATAATGCTTTATGGGTTCAAGAAAAGAAACTCAGCAGCTGAAGCGGCTTGAAACATTCACTCAGTTTATGGAGAGGAATGTGTGAATGAAAGAACTTGCAGAAGATGGTTTGCAAAATTCAGAGGTGGAGATTTCACCCTTGAAGATGAAGATCAAACCGGACGTCCAGTTGAGTTTGATGAAAAGCTTCTTGAAGCAGCCCTTGAAGAAAATCCTGCTTTATCAGTTGGGGAATTGGCAGTTGTTCTCAGTTCAAACCATACAACTGTTCATCGTCATCTCCAACAACTTGGAAAAGTTCCTAAACTTGGAAAAGTTCCTAAACTTGGAAAATGGGTGCCTCATGAATTGTCTGAAAACAACCTCAAATCCCGAGTTGACATCTGCTATTCTCTCCATTCTCGCCAACTTGTTTCACCTTTTTTGGATAGACTTGTGACTGGCGAAGAAAAATGGATCTTTTATTGAAATGTTAAGCGTCGTTGACAGTGGCTTGGTAAAGGAGAAAGACCCCGGCCACATCCGAGAAGGGAACTTCCTGGGCAAATGTTCCTCTTTCAATCTGGTGGGATCGCCAAGGAATAATCCACTTTGAATTCTTACCACCTAATGCAACAATTAATGCTCAAATATACTGTCAGCAATTAGAGTGTTTGAACCAAGCTTTGAGAAAAAAAAGACCTGCTCTAGTGAATCGAAAAGAGGTGATGTTTCATCAGGACAATGCGCGACCCGACACAGCAAGAATCACGTCACAAAAGATCGAAGAACTTGGTTGGGAGAAAATTCCTCATCCACCTTATTCTCCCGATCTTGCTCCTTTAGATACCATTTGTTTCGTCGTTTACGGAATCATTTGGAAGAAACAGCTTTTGTAACACAGGAAGAGGTTAAAACTGACATTTGTGAGTTCTTCGAATCAAAGCCAAAAGAATTTTACAGTAATGGAATTAGTAAGCTTGTTAATAGATGGAAGGAAGTCATAGATCATCAGGGAAAATACATTGTTGATTGAATCTGTAATTAAATGTAACATTTGGTCACTTGTTTTCTTTATTCAAAATTCGGACAGAACTTATGGGATCACCTGATATATGTGTGTATACATATGTGTGTGTGTGTGTATATATATATATATATATATATATATATATACGAATCCCTGACAATTTACTGCAATTAAGCTTTTTATTTATTTTTTTCTTATGTTCGTCCGAGTGTTTTTTGTTGTTTTTTTTCTGAAAAGAAAGTGTGTAAAAAACTGTCCAAAAGTTTTGCATTTACGAGAAATTTCGGCTATATTTTTAACGATTATCTAGGATGATTTTATTTTACTTTTAACTGAATGTATAGGTTGTGTTATATTACATTTATCAAGAGTTATAGGAATGTTTTTTTTTCCAAACACGCTCAGCACATTGTGGCCGTTTTCATATTTAATGTTATTGTGTGTTGGCTTTTACTTTTTTATTATTAGAGCTTCCATTATTTTTAATCTTTTTTTTCTTTTTTTTACATGTGGATGGTGTTATTATGTTTGTATTTTCTATTAGTATGTTTCCGATGGGATCTGGTAAGTTTGTGTGTGTATTTAAATGGGTTCTAATGGAGCTATGGTCGGTTAGGTATAACGTAAGTGGTCTGGATAGGCATTTAGTAGTGTGACCAATGTAATTATTTATGAGTTTGGTTTGATCAGGAATACGTTTCCTTAAGGGGCATTTGAACAAATAAATAATATTGATTCTGTGTAATTTTGATATTGCTGATGTGTTGTGATTTTTGATGATTAGCTGTTTTAAATTTTTTGTAATAGATAATTTAATTGTTGCTCTGGTTGACTGGGATAGTGAATTTCTTAATGATATTTCTAAGAGAAAATTCATCTTGCTTATATTTGATGTGTATTTGGCTTTTGTAGAATATATTAATGTTATTGTTTTTGTGTGTGTGCCCTGTATCGTTATTAGCTATTTTGAAAAGAAATAGTCTGATCTGGTGGTCGATGAATTTTTATATATATATATATATATATATATATATATATATATATATATATATATATATATATATATATATTTAGGCAGCAATCATTCTTTCATGCACATTTCATTGAAAACGACAGAGAAGGTGCTTTGATTTATTTTTTTTACAATTTCTCATGCGATCCAATAATTTTTT